GTGTTTAACCAATTTTGCCAGCGCCATTTACTGAAGAGGCTGTCTTTCTTCCATTCTATTTTTTTAGCTCCCTTATCAAAGATTAGGTGGCTGTAGGTGTGTGGGTTTATTTCTGGGTCTTCAGTCCCATTCCATTGGTCCTCAGGTCTGTTCTTGTGCCAGTACCAAGCTGTTTTGAATACTATGACTTTGTAGTAGAGTTTGAAATTTGGTATTGATATTTCTCTAGCACTGTTTTTTCTGCTAAGGATTGTTTTTGCTATTCTGGGTCTTTTATTGTTCCATATGAAGTTTTGGATTGCTTCTTCTATTTAATTGAAGAATGAGGCTGGGATATTGGTAGGTATCACATTGAATTTGTAGACAGAATTTGGCAGTATTGCCATTTTCATGATGTTAATCCTCCCAATGCAGGAGCATGTGAAGTTTTTCCACTACCTTAGTTCTGCTTTAATTTCCTTTTTTCAGGTTTTCAAAGAGGTCCTTCACTTCTTTAGTTAACTCCTAGATATTTTTTTTTGTGGAGCTATTACAAAAGGAGTTGCTTTCCTATTTCAGACACACTTTTCTTGTTACTGGCATACAGAAAAGCCATTGAGTTTTGAGGTTTAATTTTATACCCTGCTACTATGCCAAGGTTTTGGATCAGCTCAAGTAACTTGGGAGTGGAGTCCATGGGATTCTTTAAATACAAAAGCATGTCATCTGCAAAGAGGGAGAGTTTTGCTTCATCTTTCCCTATTTGGGTTCCCTTTATGTTTGCATCTTGTCGTACTGCTCTAGCAGCATTCTAATACTAAAATTGAAGAGGAGTAGAGAGAGGGAACATCTTTGTCTCATTTCTGAATTTAGAGGAAATGACTTTAGCTTTTCACCTAATTGTTATTATAATGGTGATCTACAGAGGGGTTACAGTTACATAAGTCAGCTAAAGAGTACATTTGTTTTTGGACAATGTCACCTTTTCCCTCACTCTCTCCCAGTTTTTCCCTCCCATACCTTATTCATTAGTAATAAACTAGAACCGCAGAGTCTTCAAGGAGAAAGATACAGTATTTTACAAATGACCTACTTTGCTAGCTTAGACACTTTTGAAGACCTAGTGTAAAAAATTATCCCATAAATTTGTCTTAGTTAAATCAACAATTGAATAAGGAGAATGAAATCTTGTCCCAACTAGGCTGACCCACAGCTCCCTGAATCCATCAACCAAAACTTCCAGGAATCAGGGGAGCTGGCTCAGTCCACTGAACTGCTCAAGTTCAAGATGTTCTTAACCATCTACTCTGTCTGGTGCTTCTCAAACTTGCAAGTAGATCCCTTTTACCCAAGCAAAACTTGAACCTGTCCTCCAGTCCATGTCATTTTCCCTCTAGCTGGAAATTTTTATCCCCTTTCCTGTGGCAGTGAAGCCTGTCCAGCTATGATTCGTCTGGACATTATTTTGTACCCAGTCTTAGACATTAGGAAAGCCCAACCCTAGAATTGAGTCCTGGAATTTCTTTTGTATTTTGACTGAAGCTCACACCCAGGGACAGTAAGGTTCAGATCTAAACGAAAGAAAGAAGAAAAGGAAGAAAGGAAGGAAGAAATAAAGAAAGGAAGGAAGGAAGGAACGGAGAAAAAGAAAAAAAAGAAAGAGAAAGAAAGGAAGGAAGGGCTGGGCGCCATGGCTCATGCCTGTAATCCTAACTACTCAGGAAGCTGAGATCTGAGGATCTTGGTTCAAAGCCAGCCTGGGCAGGAAAGTCATTGAAACTCTTATCTCAATAAACCACTAGAAAACCGGAAGTGGCTCTGTGGCTCAAGCGGTAGAGCACTTGCCTTGAGCTGAAGAACCGAGGGACAGCGCTCAAGCCCAGAGTTCAAGCCCCATGACCGACAAAAAAGAAAGAAAGAAAAAAAGAAAGAAAGAAAGAAAGGAAGGAAGAAAGGAAGGAAGGAAGAGACGAAGGAAGAAAGGAAGGAAGGAAGGAAGAAAGGGAAGCAAGCAAGCAAGCTATGGACTGACAGTCAACCCCCAAACCAAACTATTCTTCAAGGCTACATGCTATCTCTTTTTGCTCTAGCAAATGGAATTTATTATCACAAAACAGTGTTCTACTCTTAACATTTATACATTCCTTGAAAAGCAACAAAGGACGTGTGCTAAATCCAGTTCTCATCGCACAGTATTGGAATGTCCTTACTGCTACTCAGTTGTGCACCTAAGATTGCTTACAATGGTAAGTTCCATGTTCTTCATATTCTAGCCTGCTAGCAAAAAGAAGATGGACTCCGGGTTTGTTTCTTCCACAGCACATGCTGTGGACAATGGTGCCATAGTTTCAGCTCTGCTCAGGGTGGTGACATGGCAAGAGCAAGGACAGCATGCAGGGGACCTCCAGCCCCAACCACACCGAGTCCTTGTGAAGACTCCTGAATTTCATGTGTGGATGGTGACAGAGGCAACGGTGCCCACCAGCTTAGAGTAGCTGTGGCCTCTAAGCAAGATGGGGTAAATTTGTTAGAGTGTTTGGTTCACTTAGAGAATATATTTTCTTCTGGAAAGCCACAGTAGGAAGTGACTCGTTTACTTCAGACCTCAATGAAAAATCCATTCAGCTGTCAAAGGTCCAAAGTGAGAGTGTGTTCTCTTATCTCCTCTAAAGTTGTTTTCCACTGCCCATCAAAGCAATCCTACTCTTCCTCCTTCCTGTCCCATAATAAGATCAACAGAGAGGTGGGAAGTGGGCACTCAGAATATTCGCTCTGAGATCTTAGTGTCTTTGTAAATCCATGAGTTCAGAGGTGTGTAAACACTTGCTGCTGCCCACCAGTACCCATGCCCCACCGAGGACAGATTCCTCACGGTGAGTGGTAGTCACCAGATCCTGGGAGCACTGTATGCTTCCATGAGAGTGGCAGTCACCAACATCTCCTAGTGTCCTCCTCTTGTGTTTGGCTTGCTGCCCTATTTGGCCTCACAGAGGAGCTCTTGTACCATTGGGTTTTCTGTACATGTGGTTATGCAGTGGACCTCCATTTCTGATTGAGATCTGGTTTCCTGGGATTACATCAGTCCTCAATCTCCATCACAGTGCTGGCATCCTGGGAAACAAGGATCCCTGTTCAGATTCCTCTGAGATTGCTGGTCCCTGCTGTGAATTGTAGTTGTGACAGCTAGTCCTCAGCAGATGCCAGAGACTCTGAGACTGACCAGTTAACATTTACTGACAGTAGGAATCCCTCAGCTTTTAGTGGGTGAGGGACAAGGAAGACACTGCTTCAATCAGGGCTGGAGAGCAACTGTTATCCAATGAGGTATGTGTCAGAAGAAAGGTAACAGCACGGAATACCAGAAAGCTACTATGTCAAACTCATGTTCAGTCACCTAAACCCTATTCATGGACAAGGCAGCCATTCCATTCACTATATTCCTCAAGTCAGTTTGTAGGTGGCCTACTGATACAGACTACATCAAAGCCCTAATTGCCTGGTTCAGCCTCCTACCACAGCAGTTCTGGGCTGGATGTCTCCAAGCACTGACCATGACCTCAGTCATACCTTGTGTGTTGTGCTAAGAGAGCATGACACAAGGTAAGAACTCACTTGCTATATGCTGAATAAAGAAATGAGTCAGGAAAATAAATCCCAGGCTCCTGTGGAAAGGGCCTCAAAAGTATAGATGTATATTAATGCCTGAGAAGAACTAGAGCTTCAGTGTAAAGTAAGGTTTTAGAGAAGATACAGTCACCAAAAGTCTATGGGAGGAAGATGACAGTGTACCAGCTTCTTGCCTGCTATTTGGACTTGGTTTCTGCCTGGTTAATGTTGCCCAGACTCCCATTAGGGTGCTCACTTGCACCTGGAGTTTTCACCTCCCCATCTCCCATTCCCACGTTAACTTCTGCTTACCATTCAAGTGTCAGGGGCAATATAAAAATGTTCTGAGGACACATTATTCATATGAAATGGTAAACATCTGTCTTGAGTACTTAGAGGGTGTGGAGGATCACAAGGCTCAGCTGTCTTCACCCAGGTTTAACCAGTGGTTGCAGCATCCAGTTTGCCTGAGGAAGCTGCAGGCAGCACCCCCAGCCACATCCTGACCTTTCTAAATTGGTCCTGCCCCCTAAATGCTTTGCCATATTCTTGGCCATCATCTCTGACCCCTGCCAAAACTCCATCCTCATTTGAGGCATTCTCAACCCAAATGCAATTCTAGGAGATCCAAGTCTCACAGCAATGATTGCCTTGCTCTGGTCCAAGTCATCATCATGTCCCTTGGGCCTCTGCTAGTCTGGTGACTATCATAAACCAATGTAAACTACTGTCAACTTTTGAACAATGCCTTTCACCTTTGAACAATGAAATCAGTGCCTTTTCTTCCAGCGAGGCTTGGCAAATGCTGGCTTCCCCTGTCATGCACTTCAGGAGCCAAGAGAGAAGAAAGAGCCTTAAATACTCCACCAGGGCAGGGCACAGAGGCAGAGGCTGAGCTGTTATGGGAAATGAATCATTCTTCCTTCCAGGAAGGACAGGCAATGGAGAAAGGATTGCCTTTTTGGTGCCTGGCCTGACTTAGGAGTCCCATCCTTAGCTAACATATCCAGAGCTCACAGCAACTTCCCACTGTCCTAGCCTGTCCGCTGGATGTTAGCTCTGCTGGAGAGGACGCTTGTAGCAGGTTTATTGACACCAGTGTAGAAAGGGGGTTGGCAGAGAGGAAGAGTGTTTGAGACCAGGTTCAGTGCGAGCACAGGAAGCTCAGTGTGTGCTCAGGGAACCAATTGGAGGCCAAATGCATCCAGTGAGAGAGGCTGCAGCCTAAAAGGAGCAAGAAGAGGGCTGGCAGGCCTCCCATGACTGTGCAAGCACTTTGGCAGGGGTTCTGCAGGAATCACGTGGTCACCAGACTGAATTTCTGCTCTCACTCCCCAGTTCTTTGTGTGCAGTTTTGTGATTACATAAGAGAAAGCCAGTGAGGCACCAACCCGGATCTGCTCCCTAGAGATCAGACAGGACCCACACAGTCTCTTCTAGATGCCACTTGGAGGCTGAGGCCATGCTGGATGCTCTCGACTCTAGAAGGTGAGAGGTGATTGGGGGGGTAGGGTCCCCTGGGACTGCCCAGGACCTTCAGAGACTCAGAAGTGGAGTATGTTGTGTTTGGTTCCTTGCCATGTCTGCAGACAAGCCCTGTATACACAAGTTGGAAAAGGGCTTTGCAGAAACTTATGCTCAGAAACACAAGATTCTGGACTCTGGAGAGGAAACAAAAAGCTGGTTACATAAGAAAGTCCCGTGACAAGGAGTCATGGCAATGTACCATGAAGTTTCTCCTCATGGGACAAGAGGGAGAGAGGGGAAGGGAAGATAGGTATGTGTATGAATTTCAGGCAAGATCCTCAAAAAGATCCTAAAGTGAGGAATGTTTTACCCTGTGAACACACAGGCTTAGAGAGGTGAAGTCACCTGCCAAATACTTCCCAGCTAGAAAGGGGAAGAACTTAGGGTTTCAACCAGCTGTTTCTGATCTCACACCTTCTCCCAGTGGTGAGGTCATGTTTCTTCCTGAGTGACAGCAGAAAGAAATGGCCTTGAGCAGGCTCTCTATGGCTCCTGGGGCCTGAGAAGCAAGGAGCTCACTCACCTGGTATTCTCTGTCTCCTACAGGGCTGTAGGGAAGGTGTGCAGATAGATCAAGTCCTGGCTGGTGAACCCTGAGATTTCAAGTTATAGACGTCTCTCCATGGCTCCATATCACATCCGCAAGTACCAGGAGCGGGACCACAAAAGGGTGCTGGAGTTGTTTATCAGCGGCATGGAAGGAAACAGCCCTGCCACCTTCCGTCTCATGCTGGCGTGGCCTCAAAGCCTGCTGCTCTTAGTTGGGCTGCCTCTTGCCATGCTCTTGTTCTCTGGCTCATGGCTTCTGGCCATTGTCTGCTGCTTCACCCTGCTCCTGCTCCTCTGGCTCTATGCCAGATATCCCTGGAAAACACATGTGGCTAAATGTTTGCACACAGACATGGCTGATATCACCAAACACTACCTGAGCACACCTGGCTCCTGCTTCTGGGTGGCTGAGTGTGGGGGGCAGGTGGTGGGCATGGTGGCTGCCCAGCCTGTCAGGGATCCCCCCTTGGGGAAGAAGCAGTTGGAGCTGTTTCGACTCACCGTGGCTTTGGAGCACCGAGGAGAAGGAATAGCAAAAGCCCTGGTCAGGACTCTTCTCCAGTTTGCCCGGGACCAGGCTTACAATGAAGTTGTCCTTGTGACCAGTGTAGTGCAGCAAAGTGCTCAGGCCTTATACCAGCATATGGGCTTTCGAAAGACACATGAAGGCTTTTGGGACCTGACCCCATGGCCAATGGCTCTTGGTACAATCTATTTAACATACCACATCTCTTCTCCTCAGGAAGGGCGGCTGTAATACTTAATCACATACATATTCATATGTATATATCCAGTTTATTCTGCCATGGTAACACTCAGTTCCTGACATTTCATTAGTACAGCAGTGGTACTCACTAGACACTCTGTTGCAAATGCACAATACAACTTGTGGGTAAGGAGGGAAGTAATGACATTGTCCAAAAAGAAATGCACTCTTTGCCTGACTTATGTAACTGTAGCCCTTCTCTGTATATCAATTTTATAATAACAATGTTTAAAACAAAAAAATACTTGTATTTCATAGTGTTACACATATGTAATCCTAGCACTTGGCAGACTACGGCAGAAATATTGTGAGTTTGAAGCCAGTATGGGCAACACAGAAAGACTCTGTCTGCAAAACCTCTGTAGCTTAGGCCTGCCTGGTACAAGCCAATAGAAGGATGAACAGAAGGACAAGACCTGTATGTGGGGTAAACTTGTTTTCCAGCCCCATACGCCACAAAGCAAGCAAAAAACTCTTACGTCTTATTGGATCATGAAGGAGAAAATCTAAACCTAGGCAGGAAGTAATCCCCAAAAAAGTAATCCAAAAGACCACGTGGACAGAAGTCAAGTAGAAGAAAAGATTTATTGCCAGCAGAGCTGACTAGGCCAAGTTCTCATGAGGAAAGGGAGAAAATGGCGCCGTCTGGCTCCTTGGAGGCCCCTTTTATGTTGGGGGCCGGAAGTGGGAGTGCCTCGCTACTGCGCATGCGCTGCCATGGAGGGCGGAGATTAGGCCTGCGAGGTGGGCGTTTCCTTACATTTCTCCCCTTTTTGGTTTAATATGTACAGTACTGGGCAGGGAATATGGGCAAAGGCCTTTTCTTCTGGAGCTACCACCTGCTGAGAAGGGCACTGTAGTCAATGAAGGGGAAAGGGACGCCAGGCACTGTATATAAAGCTGGCCAAGGTCATGGTGGTTGTGAAGATGTTACTTGTCCAGAGCAGGGTCCTCTGGTTCCTCAATGACTAAGGGAAGACCAGGTCCAATCTGTTTTATCCGTAGAGACAGGGGTCCACTTGGCACAGATGTATGTGAGCGCCCATCAGGCACCTGATGTTTAACATGTGAATCCAGTGTGGACAGACCTGAACCTGCACGGCTGTGGGAGTAGAGAGTTACTGAGTAGGGTCCCTCCCACTCAGCAGAGAGCTTGGTGGAACTAGGTGCCCATGGCAGGTAATTTCTTGAAATGTACACTAGGTCCCAGCCTTGATGGAAGGCTCGGCGAGCACTGCGGAGGGCTTAGGTTCATATTGGTCCACATACTTACAGAGAAAAGTGCGCAGGTGCTGAAGGAAAGAGGACAGCATTGGTGGGGGGAAAGGGGAGTCGGATCTGGAATGGGTAATAGGATTGAGGGGTATAATGGAAGGTGGGACTGGAAGGTTAATATGGGGTCCTCTACCAGTGACACTGAAGGGAGACAATACGGGAGGGAGACATAGTTTGCAACCCCTTGTAGGTTAGTAACTCAGAGAGATGATGGTGTGAGAGGATGGTAAGGTTTGCACCAAAGGTTAGTGTTTTTTTGTTTTTTTTGACTCTGTAATAGGACAGAAGAGGTGGCTAGAACACGAAGGCAAACAGCCCAGCCCCTAGTGGTGGGGTCTAGGCATTTCAACAAGTAAGCAACCAGTGCAAATGAAGGTTAGTAATAGAGGGGTTGAGGTATCCCACATCTTGGGGTCCACCTCAAAGGGTGAAAAAGGGAAATCTGAGGGATTGCTAGGTGAGCCTACTAAAGGCATCAACAAGGAGATCGTGGAGGGGGTGGCCTAATCAATATGTGTCAATTGGGAAGGGCATAGGGTAATAGAGGCTCCAAATTTGACCAAAAGGTCTCTGCCCAGCAGTGGAACTGGGCAGTGAGGAATAACAAGGAAGGAGTGACAGGTTACACCTGAAAAAAGACAAAGGACAGGGTTTGGATGTTTATTTGGGGGAGGGGTGTAAGGTTTTCCCTCCATCCTGACTATGGAGGTATCAGCTAGGTAGGTCTGGCCATGGAACCCAGTGAGCAACTGTGTCCACCAAAAGCAAGGTCATCCTACCTGCAACCATGATTGTCACCCTGGGCTCCTGTGTGGTGATGGGAGTGGTCGGGGCCAGGAGTCCAGGACTGCCTCAGTCTTCTCTGGCTGCCAGTCTCTGAGTGCCAGGAGGGGGCATTGGGGCCTTCCTGGATGGCCATCATCCTTGAGAGGATGATGGACAGTCCACGGTCCAGTGCCCTGAAACTTTGCACTTGGGGCATGGTCAGATTGGCTCAAGTGGCTGTGGGCAGGCTAGGCCACAATGGTAGCACGGCTTCTTCAGGGGGCAGGTTTCCCTCCAGTGCCCCTTTTGACCACAGACATAGCAGGGCTCAGGTGGACCCTGTCGGGAAGGGGTTGGTTGCAAAGCTGGAGGCTGGTAGATTTTGGCTAGCATCTGGTACTTGAGCTGTTTGGCCTTTTCCTCCCTGCCAGGATACACCTTAAAGGCTGCCTCCATAGCCTCACTAGTAGGTGTTAGGGGCCTATGTCTAGTTTTTTAAATTTATCCCAGATGTCTAGAGTGGATTGATTAATAAAATGAGTCATTAAACAGTGCTGTCTGTCCACAGACTCGGGATCTAGGTTAGTATATTGAAGGAGGGTCTGGTTCAGTCTGGCCCAAAAGGCAGATGGGTTTTCATTTTTGTTTTGTGTGACCATGGGCATTTTGTCATAGTCGATGGCTTTGTGGTCTGCCTGTTTGAGACCCTTAATTATACAGGCAGTAAATTGGTTTCCCCTTTGGCGATCACCCTGAGAATTTTAATCCCAGTGAGGCTCCTGGTCAGGCACTGCCTCAGTCCCAATTGGGTGATGGGGGTGGTCCTGTGGATCTCATCTGCATAGCAGCAAGCCTTTTCCCAAACATCTGGCTGTTCCCCTGGTAAAAGGGAATTACTCAAGATTAAGTATACATCATGCCAGGTTACCTCATAGGATAGGAATACATGCCTGTAGGTGGATTGCTGGAGAAAGATCCCAGGCCTGTCTTGATCTGTGCTAGGTCATTTAATGAGAAGGGCATGTGCACTGTGACTATACCATCAGCCCCTGCCACCTCAGGTAATGGGAGAACGTGGGCTGAGGTAGAACTCTGATCTGTAGCAGGCTCTTGGGCCTGGGTAAGGATGGTACTCAATGTTTCTGAGACAGCTGGTTCCCAGTGGCCAGGGCAGGCGTGCTTTTGTCCTGTGGTGGAAGAAGGGGTGCCGATGGAAGGGGGCCTTGGCCTTGGTTGGTGCAGGAGCAGAGGGTTCAGGAATGGGTGACTGGCAGGCTGGGAAAAGGGGGCTGCCACCTCCCGCAGAAGTCCCACCCGCTTCGACAGAAGTCCCATCTCCTTTAGTGGAAGTCCTGCCTCCTCTGGCACAGCAGGAGGGGCTGTTGCTCCAAGTGTTCAAAATGGTGGCAACTCATTCACCAGATCTGGAATAGAGTCTGTATTATAAGCCAGTGGCCAGGACGAGTTGGGCAGAGAACATAAGGACTCAGGAAGAAATTCAGTTTGGAGGAAGGAGAGAAAGAAAAAGAAGGCATCTTGCCCAACCACCTGCAGAAGTAGGATAGATTCTGTATGATATCAGGATCCAGTGTCCCATGAATGGGCCACGTGGGCTGATTGTCCAGTGGATATTCAGGCCAGATCTCAGTACAAAAATGCATGAGCTCCTGTGAATCAATGTCAGATTCAAGGTTAAGCATTTCTAGATTTTTTAGGAGAACACCCAAGGGGGAGTCCTGAGGAATGTCAGGAATATTAGATTGTGCCCTGCCCATGGTAAGTGATCTGGAACCAAAAGCAGCTGTGAAGCGTCCTACGCAGTGCAGTTTGGCCCAGAAAGTGGGAAACAACCAGTGGGAAATGTCACCATGTTTTGCCACATTGTCCCTCAGCCACGGAGGCTCTCAGAAATGTGGCTTAGATACTTGGCCAAGTTTTTCAGAGGGGGGGCCCTGAAGCTCCCTGAGAGAGGCACAGAGCCTGCACAGTGAAATCTAAGCCTTTAGACTCTTCACTTACCTGGGGGGTAAGACTTGATCAGCCACTGGAGGACATGTAGGTGGCATTCACTTGAGCCACAGCACCACTTCTGCCTTTTTCTGAGTAGTTTGTTGGAGATAAGAGCCTCATAGCCTTTTCTTCTCTGGCTGGCTTCCATCTGCAATCTTTAGATCTCAGCCTCCTGAGTAACTAAGATTACGGGTGTGAGCCCTAGATGCCCAGCTAGCACGTGACAGATTTACACGAAAAACTAATGGTCAAACCAGGTACCAGTAACTTATGCCTGTAATCCTAGCTACTTAGGAGGCTGAGATCTGAGGATCATGGTTCAGGGCCACCAGGGCAGGAAAGTCTGTGAGATTCTTATCTTCAATTAATTACCAACATCAACAAAAACAAGAGTGGAGCAGTGGCTCAAGTGGTAGAGTGTTATCTAGCCTTGAGCAAAAGAAGCACAGGGACTGCACCCAGGATCTTAGTTCAAGCCCTTAGTGTAAGGTTTTAGGCAAGGAAAGAACACGCAGGAGGAGGTAAAGGTGAAGAAAGAAAAGTTTATTGGTATCACTTAGGACTGGGACAAAAAGAAAAAGAAAAAAGGTTGATCTGGGAGCAGTAGCTGAAGCCTGTAATCATAACTATGAGAAAAACAGAGAATAGGAAATCATAGTTCAAAGCTTGCCCAGGTCAAAAAAAATTGAGACACCTCTTAATTACTATCTGAGCACAATGGCATGCACTTGTTACAGCCCCATTACAGGTAAAACAAAATGCCTAGATATAGTGGTGGGTAGCTGTCAGCCCCAGTGGTACAGGAAGCACAAGTAGGAAGACTATGGTAAGACTACCTCAGAAATAACCAGTTCCATGAGATGCTGGAGGAATGACTTAAGTGGTAGTAGACTTGTTTAGCATGTGAGGTCCTAAGTTTAATCCTCAATACTGCTAAAAAAAAATACCACTTTTTGTTCTGGAATTCAAATTTTACTGGAGTCTGATATATTTTATTGTAAAATCTGGCAACTCTCCTGTGGATACGATCTA